CAATTTTCGCACATACGTGTTCCATATGTGCGTGGCCAACATAATATGGTGTCGGAATCGCAAAATTCATCGCGCAAGCCCTCGAAAATCCACGTCAAAGTCTTGGGAATAAAATAATATTATTTTTCCAATTTTTGTCGAAATTCCAATTTTTGTCCATAACCATTCTGAATGTGCGTGGCCACCCCAAAATGACCTTGGCCGCGAAAAATAACCTCAAACGGCCTCCGAATCTAGCCTCGGTGCCCACAGGGGCAAAACCGTAATTTTTCCGGCCCCGGACCGAAATCCATTTTTTTGCAGAAATGGGTGGCCCCAAGGTTGGCCAAGCCAAAAACTTCATCGGCCGTCCAAAATTGTCACTTTCAAAATTCTCGATTCCCGGGCCCGAATTCCAAGAAATGACTAAAATCGAGCAATCGCAACTTTAGCTTATCTCTGGCTAACGGGTGGCTCTCTGGAATTACGCGCTCTCGACCCGTGACCGACACTAAGTCAAATCACGTTTAAGTTTACTCCACCCGGGACGACCTCGGTTGTCATATAATTGCGAGGGTCTGTCGCTAGTTCCCTTCGGACACGATCAATCAAGTAGACCGGTCTCGGTTGGCTCAAAACATTCCCTCGTCAATCCATATGGTCGAAGATCGAACCCAGGTCGAGTTCTTTGATCGTGCGAACTCAATCCCGTAACGGCCCTACCCCTAAGGTTAGCATCCCGAGAATGCGCATTTCCGGGTGAGATCTCACTATAAGTGCATTGATCAAATTCATTTCCTAAATCCCGGGAAAAGGATCGAAAATTCAGACTGTTACAAGGCACATAAAGTAAACTCTCTAACACCTAGCTCAGAGGGCGAGATATGAAAATTTTATACAATGATTTCATACATCATGATATAAATCTGATACAAGTCTGACCAAAACAACAAGCGGCCTAGAGGGGCGGCAGTCCTTGTCCCCGTCACAAAAAATTAGGATTAGCAGTTATGGAATCATCTCGCGTTATAACCTCGAAACCTCTATCGGCATTTCCGGGAGCTTTCTTTTTCCTTCCACCACAGAGTCTACTCTAGCTTCAAATTGAAGGCAAAATCAAAATCTTCCGAATTGGCGGCCTGCATAAAGTCCTTGTCGAAAGGCCCGCGTAATTGCTTGGGAGATCGAGGATTTGGTGCCACACCCCATTTTGCACTACAGCATGTGAGTGAGTTTATTGGTGGTGGGGATAGGGATTCATCATCCACTTAGATAGACTTCCAGCACAAGTCTCCTCTGAAAGGTCTGATGGTGGGCTCGCGTAGACTTCCAACTTCTTCTTCCATCGTCTCCCATAAGACCACTTCAACTTGCCCTCCGGGTTGGGAGTTAAATCAAGATCGGTCTCGTTTTATTTCAGAGAAAGACAGTAATTATTCAAAGTAATCTTTGTCTCCCGTTAGTAACACTAGTACCTTTTTCTATATAATAAGTAACCTTGAATTACTCAAAGTAATTTTCGACGAATCTATAGCGAATTATTGTCGACGTTGAAAATGACACGCAACATATTCCGTTAGTTAAACTGATAACGTTAACAAAATGACTTGATTGCATCAATTTAACAAGTTTTAGAAGTTGATTGCACTTTTTAAAATTTTTAAGACTCAATTGCACTTTCGCGATAAGTTTTAGGACTTCTAGTGTAGTTATCACATTTTTATATGAACAAATGAAGCTTGACCGTTTAAATAACTAGTAACTTCTTCTCATCAATTAGTAACTTTTAATATAGAATGGTAATGTATTTCATGCGGCTAGTAGCTAATTCATCCGACTAGTCATATTTAACAACTGATTAGCAATTTTAACACACGCTGAAGTAACTCAAACTACCTCTATATATGTCAACACTTTCTTATACGAATGAAATCTTTTTAACTACTCGCAGCATCCTAGAATACTCCTTAGATGATGGATTTTTTCTGCTCAAGAGACGATGGGCTGTTCATGATTGACCTCACTGGCGAACCGACATAGGTTTTCTTCGCTCCAAGTCTGAGTCTCGAGAGCCATAAAAGTCATATCGACTTAGTCTATCGGTTGTATGGTGAGTAGAACCTTGCAGAAACTGCATGATTGTCGTGCTTCTAGTGGCGTCCAGCATTGGTCCCACAAGTTCTTAAATTTATTGGCTTGACTTAGTAAACTAAGACTCGTTTGGTTTGCGGAAAATGAATAATTCGACAAACATTTTCGTAAAAACAATCGCTTGTATCACTTGAACTAATTAGTCAATGGAGAATATTTTCATTATTCACAACAATTTAGGTTTAAACATTTTCATAAATGATAAAAATATTTTTCGTTTATTCATATTTGTAAGTTACACAAGCAATTATTTTTAGTAATTTTTTTTAATTATTTATTTCTTACGTAACAAAGGGTGCCTAATATTTAATCTAAGCAATGCTTGTTCCAAGTCTTTGCAAAAGTCAATGGTGGGTAGTGATGGCAAACGACTTGGAGGGAGACTTAAACTCCAGAGCATGATGATGAGTCATGCATGATCTTTTGTTCGAAGTCCTTGAGAGACTTGACTCTCAGGTAGGATTGTGGACGGTGAAGGAGCTAATTCAGAAGAAGAAATCACTAAAATTGGAACATTTTGAAAGAAATTTACTGAGACTTCAAAAAAAAAAAAATCCTTCCCGTCTAATACAAGTTTCGAATTTTTCAACTTTGTTTCCTCTGAGAGATTCCCATTGACGAGGCCGACAAAGTACATGACCACGAGAAAGAGAGAGAGAGAGAGAGAGGTCTTGTAAATAATTGGAGATAAATTATCATCTTTGATATTTGCTTGAGAGGTCACCTCAAGTTTAGAGGGATTCAATGATTAAGATGATAGGTTAATTTCCATGACAATGAAGTGCTTACCAAAATTCGACTATTCAAAACTTAAATTTGGATTACTATCATTAAAAATCTCAAACTAATTCCGCATGATATACTTACCCCAAATAAAGTTTTGTCTTACAAAAAATCTCAAACCGGTATCGCTGACTCAAATTTACTCTCTGTTGGTATATGTGTCAGTACAAGCTGTATTTATGTCTAGTACTGCGAGTTGAGGCATATTAATTCCATGCATGTGGAGGCAGTCAACATCTTACGATGTGTTTAGTCTCGCATACTGGTTAATGTGCAAGGTTGATGCTCCTTTGGATATGCTGGGGTCATTCTGGTACATGTCTGGTCGGATTCTTAATGTTAGCCGATTTCTTACTTATTTTTCCCAACTACAGCCAGCGAATTCATGTACATGGCACTGAATATGTACTGCCAGAGAAAATCAAGAGAATAATATTGATTCTATAAGTCGAACAATCCTATATGGGCATTAATTTGGTTGTTTGTTCAAGAAATAAAAATTCTGACAATCCCATAATGGAATTGGTTTAATGTGACCACTTATCTTTATGTTAGCGTCTTTTTTTAATATAGATTGATGAAAAATGCATATGAGCGGCCGCATATCCAATTTAAAGTTCATAAAACATCATTTGGTCAACCAAAGTATATAGAGCAGACAGGATGATCTACAGAAACAAGTAATGGGGGACAATATCAAGGAAAAGAAATTGTTCAGTAGATAATTGCTGTATAGTCTCAACTGGTATAATTCCAAAACTTGGATCTCCAATGATGTTAACTCCTCTCCTTTTGCGGTTCCATCCAAAACGAAGGCAAAATCCTCGCATATTTTCAATTTAGAAGTCCGAAGATCATTAGGCTCCTCTGTCCCATTCACAACGCCAAAAGTACTGTTTTTACTTATTCCTACATATCATACGATATATCAAATAAATCTACTTTGATGCTGTAGTTCCACTCACCTAGTTAGGGCCAGTGTTACATTGAGGTACATGTGGGCCATTTCGGCCAGTTATGGGCCAATATGGAATGATTGCAGGACCAACAGTCTACAGGCCCAACATTCTTGTACTTACGATATGTAATAAATTTTTGTTTTCCTTTTTTTGGTTTCAAGGTAAACAACTTCTCCAATATATCATTTTCTTTCGCACAAGAGTCGTTAGTGATGAACGAGAAAAGTTAAAATTCAATGATGAGAAGTCGATTAAATCAAAATGATCCGTTTTATCTTTCTAAATCTTTGGTGGAAAAAAGTCAATTGAGGAAGGAGCTAAACTCGTTAACGCTATATCGATATCCCACAAGCAGACTTAGCACTCGGCCCCAAAAATTAAGTCATTGGACAGCGACCCGACCCAGCCCAACTCCGGGTCGGCAACGGTGGATTGGACACTAGTGCTTGTTTATTCATGTATCCATTTAGTTGGAGTTCAAAGACTTGCTTTGCTCTCGATTATGTGTATTCCCAAGGTAATGGCACTGAATCTTACACGAGGGATCTGCATCACTTCACTAGTGAATTTCAATTCTTCCATGCGACCATTTACAAACACACTACTCATGTATAAGGCAATTCTTGCAGCTATTTTTGAGTAGAATTATTTGGAATTTGAAGATACTTTGCATAATTCACTGAACATTTTTCTGTTCCACTCTGACCTATGTTCTCTATAAAAGATAGTGTTTGATACTTTACAATCCACAATCTACAACAGGCCTGCAACTTCAAAGATTTTAGTGTTGATTCTTCAAGACATATTTCCTTAGCAGATTAATTTATTAACAACTTTGGCTGAATGGGTTAATTCTTCACTTCTAATTCTTTACGGGCAAACAAAAGCTATGCACACGGGAAGATGGAAAAGATATATGTAGACGTTGATGGCTCTTGCTTCATTTTTCTATCTTTTGCTTCTTTTTTCTTAAAAGTAGTGTGACTGGCAGATCTTATTATTCATCTTTTCAATTCAACTAATATGTAATTACACCAAGAAACAAGAAGAGAAGGCATTACAGAAAAGGCATCATATAAGAAATGACATATCAAGCTGGTCGGGCAACATCTTAATTAACTATATTTACATAACACCGTCTAAAGAGACAACTCCTCAACAATTTCATTGTCCATGAAATTTGATGGCCTTTTGCTTTTGTTTCTCCATCCACTCGGCTAATCTACTCTCTAGCATTCTCATACCTCGCACGAGCCATTTGGGCTTTTCCATTTCAAATGCAAAGAATGCTATGAAAATCCCAATTATGATTCCAGATGCATAACCCATCCACATTATCGTTTGTTCGAACCAACTATGATGCCCTTTGCAACTAAAAGACGAGGATGACGGTGGAGGACGTTGAGCATCGCCGGGGCAAGCTTTTTGCAATGGAGTTCCACAAAAGCCTGGATTATCACTAAACCAGTCGCTTGAAAATGTGCTCAAGTGCTTGTCTTGTGGAATTTGACCAGTGAGTTTATTCTTCGAGAGGTCCAAGTATCCAAGGGATGCCAAATCTCCCAGTACTCTAGGAATTTCCCCACTAAGCTTGTTTGAAGAAAGATCAAGCCATTCAAGATCGGTCAAGCTCCCCAGAATTGGAGGGATGGAACCTGTGAGATGGTTGTGCGAAAGGTTGAGCCCTTTGAGAGAGTGGAGATGTCCAAAGACTGTAGGAATATTTCCTTGGAAAGAATTGTGCGACAAGTCGATGGTTGTGAAGATGGTCAAGATCTTCACTAGCTTAATCTCTAGCCCTTTCATCGTCACGGTCACAGAATTTTTATATCAGCTCCCTTGGATAGACCATGTCATATATAGTGATTTTTCTTGCCCATTTTCGCCATTCATCATGCCTTTCAGGCTCATTATCAAGTTGGCTCACAAAGGACCTCCAAAATTGTTCTTGGAGAGATCCAAAATGCGTAACTTGGGAAAGAGGTCAGTTGCCTCTGGAATATCCAAAAGACCCTTAAAATTGTCGAACCTTAAAATGAGAACTTTTAACTCTGGAAGTGTTCCTAACCATCTTGGGAATGTATCCTCTATCTGATTGCTACTGATATTCGGAACTTCAAGATATTTACATTCGACAAGGGACTACGGTAAAGTGCCTACAAACCAATTTTGACTAAAGTCAAGAGTCAAGCTATTTGTTGAAGAAAATGATTGAGGAATTGTGCCTTCAAGGTGATTCATTCGTAAGTTCAAAACCGACAGATCGGTACTGAAGTTTGTTAAGCATTGTGGGAAGGCACCTGTCAAGCCGTTGTCAGACAAGTTGATGATCTCGAGATTGGTGGCATTGCATAACAAAGAAGGGATCTTTCCTGATATATTATTACTTGCAATGGAATAATAAAATGTCACGTGAGATGGAAGTGGAATCGGCCCTCCAAACTTATTGTTGGAAAGATTTATTACATACAATGAGGTGTTTGAGAAGATATAATTGAATTCATTATGACTCAGAAATAATGATGATAAGTTCACGCATTTGAGTTGGGAGTGCGGTAATGGCCCTTGTAACTTATTGCTGCTCAAGTCTAGAATCTCAAGATTGGTAATATTACCAAAACATAGGGGCATATTCCCAAAGAGATTATTGTTAGACAAATTTAAAGAATAGAGTGAACTCAACTGGCAAATGGAAGAGGGGATTTCACCAGTGAAACCATTGTTGGAGACCAAAAAGTGTAGAGTAGAAGGTGGAGGGATCAGGAGTGGTCCTTGGAATGAGTTGTTCCGAAAATCCATACACCACAATTTCTTCTAGTACAATTGTGGTATATCTCCCTCCAGAAGGTTATTAGAAAGATTTAAGGATTCCAATGTATCATGGCTTATTCCCTAGAACCACCTTGGGATCTCCTCACTAATCCTATTTGAAGAGAGGCCTAAGTATATTAATTTTTCTAACGAATTCAAGAAATAAGGGAACTTGGTCAAGTTGCAAGAACGCAACCTCAACCTTTCATGCTTAGGGAACGTATAGCTCAATCTATCGTAGGTTAGATTTAGTTCTTGAGAAACACTAAGGCTCTGTAGATTTTTAAGCTTTGTAAAGATTTCAAACTCTAAAACCCCGCTAAAGTTACTCCGGCCAAGATATAGGTATTGGAGTTGTTTGAGATTTCCCAATGATGAGGGGATGTGTCCTGTAAATTTGCACACTTCAAGAACTAAAACTGTTAAATTCTTCATGTTGCCAATTGAATCAGGTATTTCTCTTGAAAAGCTTGTAAAGAAGAGAGACAAGTACGCAAGAGAACCAGTCCAATTGGATTTGGGAAGAATCCCAAGCATATCTTCATTGAAACTCAAATCGAGAGTAGTAAGGCTCGGGAACTGAAAAACAGCAATTGGGAATATCCCTTTTAAGGAACAATCACGAACACTAAAATGTGTCAGAGAAGACGACAAGTTCACAAAGGACTTTGGTGAAACCGTGGACATGTTTACAAAATCAAGAACAAGCCTTCTCACTACTGTTAAATTATGAGCAAGCATTGTGAAGATTGGATCTTCCAACCCGAGATAAGAGAGCCCATTTGATTCATAAATATAAGAGTAAGAGAGATCAAGTGACACCAGCTTGGAGAGATGAGAGATTTCACTAGGAACGGTACCCGAAAAGTGTGAACAAGAGAGATTCAGATGAGTCGTTTTTGCAAATATACTGAGATTTGGCGAAATGTGTGTGCCAGTAAAGTTATTACCAAAAAGGTTGAGATTCTGAAGATGGTGAAGGAGAAAGAGGGAGTTATTGGAATGGAGAGCGCCACGAAGCCAACTGCAAGTAAGATCGAGACCGATGACATAATCGGTGACATCGTCGCAAGTCACACCGTCCCACGAGCAACAGTCCACGCTCTTGTTCCATGACTCTGTCTTTGGATAAGAAGAATTATCCAAATAACAAGAGTCCGAGGCCATGCTATCAAGCACGAAGGATTCCTTAAAATGGAGTAAGGCATCGCGTTGGTCTGGAAGGCAAAGGGGCGAGACAAAGGGAAGGGAGGAATGTAAGACAGAGAAAACAGAGGAGGCCGAGGATTTGATATGACCCCATTTTGCTATTTAGCATGCGAATGAGTTAAGTGGTGGTGGAGAGTGCTTCCACTTATATAGCCCTTCTCAAGTGTGAAGTCATCGACACAAGTTTTCTTACGTGTTAGACGTTCTAAAAGCTCGGTTGGTCGGAGTGCGAGTAATTTCATGTAATTTTACAGCTCCTGATCATTGCAAGTGAGACAACGATAAAGTATCTGATTAATTTGACATCAACGTTTAATATGCAAGATCAATATGTTGTGTTCAACTACGCAACCTTTCAGACCTTTTTTTTTTAAAATTTTCAAATCTAGAATTACAAGGTTTTATTAGCCACAAAAGCAAATAGAATTTAAAATGAGTTGTTCTACTTATGAAGAAAGGCTGTCTAATTAACAACCCATACCAATGTGACAGCCTCCAGTAATTTCGTCATATATAAGAGCAAACAAAAGCCTAGAAAAGTTATTTGACACTTCACTCGAAAAACAATTTATATAAACATGTCTAATATAAGAGTACCTAATATTAATATTTCTCAAAGTTAATTATTGCAGAATGTAAGATAAAGTGATAAACTACCTTTAAGTTTAATAAAGTGCTTGTTAAATATTATATGGACGTTGGGAGAAGAAATAGGAAGGTTTTTGCACAAGGTATATAGCTGAGATATCCACTATTACCAATTCTGCGCCTTCGCATAGGTATAATTAAAGGAGATTCTGCAAGAATTGCTGGTTTGGATTATATGCATATGGATTGCAAGCCAAAACATTTGATTTTGGCCGAATTGGCAGGAATCGCGGCAATTGAATTGGCATCTTAATTAATTTATTTTTTAATTATTGATTGTCATGTGAACTCAATTGTGCTGGACTTGGCGGGATTTGAAGAGCAAGAATCATATCATCATCGCATTCCCAACATGAACCGACTATTAATGACCCACGCTCTCATAGTCCAAGTCAAAAAGTCTGTTTTCACACGGCAAAAATATTGTCCAACGCACTTTGTTCTATCGTACGACGTCCTAATTACGGGGGGGTAAGTGGCTTTAGAAAATGGGAGAGGGCATTATTAGATGCACTCAGGTGGCCTCCATTATTGATGAGCAAAATGTCTAATTAGTCACGGAAGGAAATAGAATTTAACCTGAGTTGTTCTACTAATGAAGAAAGACTACCTAATTAACAACCCATAGCCATAACAATGTGAAAGCCTCAGGTAATTATCGTCAAATATAAGAGCAAATAACAGCCAAGAAAAGTTATTTGACACTTGACTCGCACATATAATTTAACTTCGAGAAATATTAACTCACGTACTCTTGTATTATACGTGTTAAGACGTGATCCAAACAATATAAAGAGGGCAATCATCCCCAGAGTGCGCTTGTCAATGCCTCACGACAGGTAAGCTTTTTCGTTGGATTACTAGTCGTCTCATCTTCCTAGTCGTCTTTTCTTTTCCAAACCTCAAAATTTCTATTAATTCTCTTCAATTGAAGTTTTTGTCCACTCCATCTTCATGCTGTCTTGAAGAGGGTGTTTTTATTTTTTAAATGAAAACCTCTCTCTACACAAACACAGAGAGAGTAGGTTTGTCAACTATGTAAATTTTTTCCTTTTAAGCTCCGTTCGTTTCGCGAAAAATATAACGTTTCTGGAAAATATTTTCTAGAAAGTCATTTTTCAGGAAAATGATAATATTTTCTAGTGTTTGGTCAAAGCCTAAAAATAAACTGGAAAATATTTTCCGTTGTTCGGTATGGAAAATCTGATTTTATTTTCTTCCTTACACTCCTTTTAATAATGTTTTATTTTTATTTTTATTTTTATTTTATTTCTTGACTAGTTTATTTTCCATGAACTGAACGCTGGAAAATTCGGAAAACATTTTCCTCGAAGTTGTTTTTCCCAAAACAAATGGAGCCTTAAACAACATTTTCCATGAGTAGTGCTGTCCTTGGGATGTGTTGGGTCTGTGCTTATGCGAGTAAGAGCTTCATTTTGCTCACCCATTGTGATGGGAGAGTGTGGCTTTTTTTCTTTTATAGGTATATCTTTGTCCGTTGATGATATAGTCACATGTTTTGAATTATCCACCAAATAATAGGGATTACATTTTTTTTTAATAAAAAAAATTGTGCATGCCTTTCCGTTCTAAACTTTGAATGTAAAATATGCTCCGTTTGGTATATGGAAAATGAATGATTTGGAAAAAATTTTCTTAAATATACAATGCAACATAACTACAATTATACAAGACATATTTCCGCTTTAATTAGTTGAATTAAAAATTAAAGTGACCCTAGCATATTGCTAAATATACACAACGTAAATTCACTTGAATACTAAGGTACTAGTCTGTATATGTCAAGTCAAATCCTCCTATGTATCCACTAGCATTTGGCAAATCAATGTTAAACGTCATAACCGTCATGACGAAAGAATTCAGTGGAGGATGTAACTGTAAGGACATAGCTTAGGCAAGGCACGTAAAGAAAACTCTTAACAACTAGCTCAGAGGGCGAGATATGAAAATTTTATACAATGATTTCATGCATCATGATATAAATCTGAGAGAAGTCTGACCAAAACAACAAGTGGCCTAGAGGGGCGGCGGTCCCTGTCCCCGTCACCAGAGATTAGGATTAGCAGATATGGAATCACCTCGCGTTATAACGTTGGAATCTCTATCGGCATTTCCGGGAGCTTTCTTTTTCCTTCCACCACAGATTCTAGTCTAGCTTCAAATTTAAGGCAAAATCAAAATGTTCCGAACTGGCGGCCTGCATAAAGTTCTTGTGGAAAGGCCCGCGTGATTGCTTGGGAGATCAAGGATTTGATGCCACACCCCATTTTGCACTACAGCATGTTTGTGAGTTTATTGGTGGTGGGGATAGGGATTCATCATCGACTTAGATAGACTTCCAACACAAGTCTCCTCTGAAAGGTCTGATGGTGGGCTCGCGTAGACTTCCAACTTCTTCTTCCATCGTCTCCCATAAGACCACTTCAACTTGCCCTCCGGGTTGGGAGTTAAATCAAGATCGGTCTCGTTTTATTTCAGAGAAAGACAGTAATTATTCAAAGTAATCTTTGTCTCCCGTTAGTAACACTAGTACCTTTTTCTATATAATAAGTAACCTTGAATTACTCAAAGTAATTTTCGACGAATCTATAGCGAATTATTGTCAACGTTGAAAATGACACGCAACATATTCCGTTAGTTAAACTAATAACGTTAACAGAATGACTTGATTGCACAAGTTTAACAAGTTTTAGAAGTTGATTATACTTTTTAAAATTTTTAATACTCAATTGTACTTTCGCGATAAGTTTTAGGACTTCTGGTGTAGTTATCCCATTTTTATATGAACAAATGAAGCTTGACCGTTTAAATAACTAGTAACTTCTTCTCATCAATTAGTAACTTTTAATATAGAATGGTAATGTACATCATGCGGCTAGTAGCTAATTCATCCGACTAGTCATATTTAACAACTGATTAGCAATTTTTACACACGCTGAAGTAACTCAAACTACCTCTATATATGTCAACACTTTCTTATACGAATGAAATCTTTTTAACTACTCACACCATCCTAGAATACTCCTAGATGATGGATTTTTTCTGCTCAAGAGACGATGGGCTATACATGATTGAGCTCACTGGCGAACCGACATAGGTTTTCTTTGCTCCAAGTCTGAGTCTGGAGAGCCATAAAAGTCATATCGACTTAGTCTATCGGTTGTATGGTGAGTAGAACCTTGCAGAAACTGCATGATTGTCGTGCTTCTAGTGGCGTCCAGCATGGGTCCCACAAGTTCTTAAATTTATTGGCTTGACTTAGTAAACTAAGACTCCTTTGGTTCGCGGAAAATGAATAATTCGACAAACATTTTCGTAAAAATAATTACTTGTAGCACTGTAACTAATTAGTCAATGGAGAATATTTTCATTATTCACAACAATTTATGTTTAAATATTTTCATAAATGATAAAAATATTTTTCGTTTATTCATATTTGTAAGTTATACAAGCAATTATTGCTAGTAATTTTTTTAATTATTTATTTCTTACGTAACAAAGGGCGCCTAATATTTAATCTAAGCAATGCTTGTTCCAAGTCTTTCAAAAGGTCAATGGTGGGTAGTGATGGCAAACGACTTGGAGGGAGACTTAAACTCCAAAGCATGATGATGAGTCATGCATGATCTTTTGTCCGAAGTCCTTGAGAGACTTGACTCTCAGGTAGGATTGTCGACGGTGAAGGAGCTAATTCAGAAGAAGAAGATTACTAAAATTGGAACATTTTGAGAGAAATTTACTAAGACTTCAAAAAAAAAAAATCCTTCCCGTCTAATACAAGTTTCGAATTTCTCAACTTTGTTTCCTCTGAGTGATTCCCATTGACGAGGCTGACAAAGTGCATGACCACGAGAAAGAGAGAGAGAGAGAGGTCTTGTAAATAATTGGAGATAAATTATCATCTTTAATATTTGCTTGAGAGGTCACCTCATTAGAGGGATTCAGTGATTAAGATGATAGGTTAATTTCCATGACAATGAAGTGCTTACCAAAATTCAAATATTCAAAACTTAAATTTGGATCACTATCATTAAAAATCTCAAACTAATTCCCCATGATACATTTACCCCAAACAAAGTTTTGTCTTACAAAAAATCTCAAACCGGTATTGCTGACTCAAATTTACTCTCCATTGGCATACGTGTCAGTGCGAGTTGTATTTATTTCTAGTACTGCAAGTTGAGGCATATTAATTCCATGCATGTGGAGGCAGTCAACATCTTACGATATGTTTAGTCTCGCATACTGGTTAATGTGCAAGATTGATGCTCCTTTGGATATGCTGGGGTCATTCTGGTACGTCTGGTCGGATGCTTAATATTAGCCGATTTCTTACTTATTTTTCCCAACTACAGCCAGCGAAATCATGTACATGGCACTGATATGTACTGCCAGAGAAACTCAAGAGAATAATATTGATTCTATCAGTCTAACAATACTAGATGGGCATTAATTTGGTTGTTTGTTCAAGAAATAAAAATTCTGACAATCCCATAATGGAATTGGTTTAATGTGACCACGTATCTTTATGTTAGCGTCTTTTTTTTTTATATAGATCGATGAAAAATGCATATGAGCAGCCGCATATCCAATTTAAAGTTCATAAAACATCATTTGGTCAACCAAAGTATATAGAGCAGACAGGATGATCTACAGAAACAAGTAATGGGGGACAATATCAAGGAAAAGAAATTGTTCAGTAGATAATTGCTGTATAGTCTCAACTGGTATAATTCCAAAACTTGGATCTCCAATGATGTTAACTCCTCTCCTTTTGCGGTTCCATCCAAAACGAAGGCAAAATCCTCGCATATTTTCAATTTAGAAGTCCGAAGATCATTAGGCTCCTCTGTCCCATTCACAACGCCAAAAGTACTGTTTTTACTTATTCCTACATATCATACGATATATCAAATAAATCTACTTTGATGCTATAGTTCCACTCACCTAGTTAGGGCCAGTGTTACATTGAGGTACATGTGGACCATTTCGGCCAGTTATGGGCCAATATGGAATGATTGCAGGACCAACAGTCTACAGGCCCAACATTCTTGTACTTACGATATGTAATAAATTTTTCTTTTTTCTTTTTTTGGTTTCAAGGTAAACAACTTCTCCAATAGATCATTTTCTTTCGCACAAGAGTCGTTAGTGATGAACGAGAAAAGTTAAAATTCAATAATGAGAAGTCGATTAAATCAAAATGATCCGTTTTATCTTTCTAAATCTTTTGTGGAAAAAAGTAAATTGGGGAAGGAGCTAAATTCGTTAACGCTATATCGATATCTCTACAACCAGACTTAGCACTCGGTCCCAAAAATTAAGTCATTGGACAGCGATCCAACCTGGCCCAACTCCGGGTCGGCAACGGTGGATTAGACACTAGTGCTAAGACCTGCTTTGCTCTCGATTATGTGTATTCCCAAGGTAATGGCATTGAATCTTACACGAGGGATCTGCATCACTTCACTAGTGAATTCCAATTCTTCCATGCGACCATTTACAAACACACTACTCATGAATAAGGCAATTCTTGCAGCTTTTTTTTGGTAGAATTATTTGGAATTTGAAGATACTTTGCATAATTCACTGAACATTTTTCTGTTCCACTTTGACCTATGTTCTCTATAAAAGATAGTGTATCATACGTTACAATCCACAATCTACTACAGGCCTGCAACTTCAAAGAATTTAGTTTTGATTCTTCAGGACACATTTCCTTAGCAGAATAATTTATTAACAACTTTGGCTGAATGGGTTAATTCTTCACTTCTAATTCTTCATGGGCAAACAAAAGCTATGCACACGGGAAGATGGAAAAGATATATGTAGACGTTGATGGCACTTGCTTCATTTTTCTATTTTTTGCTTCTTTTTTCTTCAAGTTGTGTGTTTGGCAGATCTTATTATTCATATTTTCAATTCAACTAATATGCAATTAAACCAAGAAACAGGAAGAGAAGGCATTACAAAAAAGGCTTCATATAAGAAATCGCATATCTTTATTAACTGAATTTACATGACACAGTCTAAAGAGACAACTCCTCAAGAATTTCATTGTCCATGAAATTTGATGGCCTTTTGCTTTCGTTTCTCCATCCACTCAACTGCTCTACTCTCTAGCATTCTCATACCTCGCACAAGTCATTTGGGCTTTTCCGTTTCAAATGCGATGAATGCTATGAAAATCCCAATTATGATTCTAGATGCATAACCCATCCACATTATCTTTTGTTCGAACCAACTATGATGCCCTATGCAAATGAAAGACAAGGACGATGGTGGAGGACGTTGAGCATCACCGGGGCATGCTTTTTGCAATGGAGTTCCACATAAGCCTGGATTATCACTAAACCAGTCGCTTGAAAATGTGCTCAAGTGCTTGTTTTGTGGAATTTGACCAGTGAGGTAATTCTTCGAGAGGTCCAAGTATCCAAGGGATGCCAAATCTCCCAATATTCTAGGAATTCCCCCACTAAGCTTGTTTGAAGAAAGATCAAGCCATTCAAGATCAGTCAAGCTCCCCAGAGTTGGAGGGATGGAACCTGTAAGATGGTTGTGTGAAAGGTTGAGCCCTTTAAGAGAGTGGAGATGTCCAAAGGCTGTAGGAATATTTCCTTGGAAAGAATTGTGCGACAAGTCGATGGTTGTGAAGATGGTCAAGATCTTCACTAACTTAATCTCCAGCCCTTTCATCGTCACGGTCACAGAATTTTCATATGATCTCCCTTGGATAGACCATGTCATATATAGTGATTTTTCTTGCCCATTTTTGTCATTCATCATGCCTTTCAGGTTCAGTATCAAGTTGGCTCACAAAGGACCCCCAAAATTGTTTTTGGAGAGATCCAAAATGTGTAACTTGGGAAAGAGGTCAGCTGCCTCTGGAATATCCAAAAGACCCTTAAAATTGTTGGACCTTAAAATGAGAACTTTTAACTCTGGAAGTGTTCCTAACCATCTTGGGAATGTATCCTCTATCTGATTGCTATTGATATCCAGAACTTCTAGATATTTACATTCGACTAGGGACTGCGGTAAAGTGCCTTCAAAATGATTTTGACTAAAGTCAAGAGTCACCAAGCTATTTCTTGAAGAAAATGATTGAGGAATTGTTCCCTCAAGGTGATTCATTCTTAAGTTCAAAACCGACAGATCAGTACTGAAGTTTGTTAAGCATTGTGGGAAGGCACCTGTCAAGCCATTGTCAGACAAGTCGATGATCTCGAGCTTGCTAGCATTGCATAACAAAGAAGGGATCTTTCCTGATATATTATTACTTGCAATGGAGTAATAAATATCACGGGAGATGGAAATGGAGTCGGCCCTCCAAACTTATTGTTGGATAAATTTATTACACCCAATGAGGTGTTTGAGAAGATGTCATTGAATTCATTGTGACTGAGCAATAATGATGATAAGTTCATGCATTTGACTTGGGAGTACGGTAATGACCCTTGTAACTTATTGTTGCTCAAGTCTAGATACTCAAGATTGGTCATATTACCAAAACATGGTGGCATATTCCCAAAGAGATTATTGTTAGACAAATTTAAATACAAGAGTGAACTCAACTGGCAAATTGAAGAGGGAATCTCACCGATGAAACCATTGTTGGAGGCCAAAAATATTAAAGTAGAAGGTGGAGGGATCGAGAGTGGTCCTTGGAATGAGTTGTTCCGAAGATCCATACACAAAAATTTCTTCTAGTGCAATTGTGGTATACCTCCCTCCAGAAGGTTATTAGAAAGATCTAAGAATTCCAATGTATCATGGCTTATTTCCCAGAACCACCTTGGGACCTCCCCACTAATCCTATTTGAAGAGAGGCGTAGGACTGTTAATTTTGTTGACGAATTCAAGAAATAAGGGAACTTGGTCAAGTTGCAAGAACGCAACATCAACGTTTCAAGCTTAGGGAACGTATAGCTCAATCTATTGTAGATTAGATTTAGCTCTTGAGAAACACTAACACTCCGTAGATTTTTAAGCTTTGTAAATATTTCAAACTCTACAACCCCGCTAAAGTTATTCCCTCCAAGATATAGGTGCTGGAGTTGTTTGAGAGTAGCTAATGATGAGGGGACGTGTCCAGTGAATTTGCACCATCCAAGATTTAAATATATTAAACTCTTCATGTTACCAATTGAATCGGGTATTTCTCTTGAAAAGTTTGTATTAAAGAGAGACAAGTATGCAAGAGGACCAGTCCAATTGGATTTGGGAAGAATCCCAGACATATCTTCATTGGAACTCAAATCGAGAGTAGTAAGGCTCGGGAACCAGAAAATAGTAACTGGGAATTTCCCCATTAAGGAACAACCACTAACACTAAAATGTCTCAGAGAAGAAGACAAGTTCACAAAGGACTTTGGTGAAACCATGGACATGTTTATACAATCAAAAACAAGTCTTCTCACTACCGTTAGATTCTGAGCAAGCATTGTGAAGATCAGATTTTCCAACCTGAGAGAAGAGAGCCCGTTTAATTCACCAATATAAGAGGAAGAGAGATCAAGTGACACCAGCTTGGAGAGGTGAGAGATTTCACTAAAAACGGTACCCGAAAAGTGTGAAGTAGAGAGATTCAGAAGAGTCATTTTTGCAAATGCACTCAGATTAGGCGAAATGCATGAGCCAGTAAAGTTATTACTGAAAGGTTTGAGGCTTTGAAGATAGCGAAGGAGAAAGAGGGAGCTATTGGAATGGAGAGCGCCACGAAGCCAACTACAAGTAAGATCGAGACCAATGACGTTACCGGTTACACTGCTGCAAGTGACACCGTCCCACGAGCAGCAGTCCACGCCCTTGTTCCATGAGTTTGTCTTTGGATAAGAAGAATTATCCCAACGACAAAAGTAAGAGTCCGAGGCCATGCTATCAAGCACGAAGGAATCCTTAAAATGGAGCAAGGCATCGCGTTGGTCTGGAGGGCAAAGGGGCGAGACAAAGGGAAGGGAGAAATGTAAGACAAAGAGAAAATAGAGAAGGCCGAGGATTTGATGCGACCCCATTTTGCAATTTAGCATGCGAGCGAGTTAAGTGGTGGTGGAGAGTGCTTCCACTTATATAGCCCTTCTCAAGTGTGAAGTCATCGACACAAGTCTTCTCGCATGTGTTAGCCATTCTAAAAGCTCGGTTGGTCGAAATGCGAGTAATTTCATGTAATTTTACAGCTCCTGATCATTGCGCGTGGAGCAATGATAAAGTATCTGATTAATTTGAAATCAACGTTTAATATGCAAGATCAATATGTGGTGTTCAACTACGCAACCTTTCAGACCTTTCTTTTTTTAATTTTCAAATCTAGAATTACAAGGTTTTATTAGCCACAAAAGGTAATAGAATTTAAAATAGTTGTTCTACTTATGAAGAAAGGCTGCCTAATTAACAATCCATAACAATGTGAAAGCCTCCAGTAATTTCGTCATATATAAGAGCAAACAAAAGCCTCGAAAAGATATTTGACACTTCACTCGAAAAACAATTTATATAAACATATCTAATACAAGAGAACTTAGTATTAACATTTCTCAAAGTTAATTATTGCAGAATTTAGATAAAGTGATAAGCTACCTTTAAGTTTAATAAAGTGCTTGTCAAATATTATATGGACGTTGGGAGAAGAAGTAAGAAGTTTTTTGCACAAGGCATATAGCTGAGATATCCACTATTACCACTTCTGCGCCTTGGCATTGGCATAATTAAAGGAGATTTTGCAAGAATTGCAGGTTTGGATTATCTGCAGATTTGGAAGAAATCCGTGGCAATTGAATTGGCATCTAAATTTATTTATTTTTTAATTAATGATTGTTTTGTGAACTCAATTGTGCTTGGACCTGGTGGGACATGAAGAGCAACAATCAGATCATCATCGCATTCCCAACATGAACCGACTCTTGATGACCCACGCTCTCATATTCCAAGTCAAAAAGTCCGTTTTCACGCGGCAAAAATACTGTCCAACACACTTTGTTCTATCGTATGACGTCCTAATTACGTCCTAATTAGATGCACTCAGGTGGCCTCCATTATTGTTAGAAGCGTGTGTAGGGAGAATCGACTAACCTGTTCAATGCACTCCAAACAAAATTTCCAGGATCGTACGTTAAATCACCAGCAAACGATAAACGAATCTACTACACGTTGGTCCGAATACAATCACAAGGAAAGTATACTTGTTCCGCAGCGTTAATGCCGATTGTCTTCTCAAAGTAGATACGGAATCCTAATGCGTCGAGTGAGAGAGTTCTGAATTTCTCTTGTAAATTGTTCATCTTCCGAGGAAGTTATCTTAACTTCCATTAAGAAACTCTCCTTGCACCTCTTCAAAAGGTGTCTCTCAGACACACCTCTTATTAGAGCAAATGGTGTCCCTTGGACACACACATCATGGGCGGACCGACGAAATATAACAATTATTGATGAGCAAAATGACTAATTATTCAACGAAGGAAATAGAATTTAACTCGAGTTGTTCTACTAATGAAGAAAGACTACATAATTGACAACCCATGACAATGTGAAAGCCTCAGGTAATAATTGTCAAATATAAGAGCAAATAACAGCCTAGAAAAGTTATTTGACATTTAACTCAGACAACAATGTGTGTGTATATAATTTAACTTTGAGAAATATTAACTCAAGTACTCTTGTATTATACATGTTAAGACGTGATCCAAACAATATAAAAAGGGCAATCATCTCCAGAGTGTGCTTGTCGATGCCTCACGACATGTAAGCTTTTTAGTTGGATTACTAGTCGTCTCATCTTCCTAGTCGTCTTTTCTTTTCCAAACCTCAAAAATTTCTATTAATTCTCTTCAGTTGAAGTTTTTGTCGACTCCATCTTCATGCTGTCTTTAAGAGGGTGTTTTTATTTTTTAAATGAAAATCTCTCTCTACACAAACAGAGAGAGAGTTAGGTTTGGCAACTATGTAAATTTTTTCCTTTTAAACAGCAGGTTTCCATGAGCAGTTCAGTCAATGATAATTTTTCTCCATATAAATAGCTCTTTTTAAGTTAGATACTTTTCCAACCATAAAAAAAAAAAAAAGAAGTTAGATACTTTCTTTATTATACTTCCAGTTTTTTGACCAGTTATTTTTCATTTCATTTATCAGGGCAAACATGAGCAGCATATGAATATTAATCTTATGTGTCTGATAGTTTATATATTAAGATTATCAAGATCAATTGAGGATTAGCATGTCTAGAATTCTCACGTGATTGATTATTTTGTTCTTGGCTTTGGCTTGAAGTCTTAATAATTTTCTCATTCGTGTTATTTTGAATAAAATAGTTTGGCAAGGTTACTTTAAAAAGTCCTATATACTTCATAATGTTGTATCTTTAAAATTTGTATCATCAAAATACACTGATTGGAATACTTTCTACGATAGTTACAGTGCAGCACAACTACAATTATACCAGACAAATTTCAGCTTTAATTAGTTCAATTCAAAATTAAAGTGACCCTAGCATATTGCTAAATATACACTGCGTAAATTCACTTGAATACTAAGTTACTAGTCTGTACACGTCAAGTCAAATCCTCTGGCAAAAGTACACCAGAAGTGCCATAACTTGTGTACGGATGTCACTTTGGTGCCATAACTTTTTTTCGGATCACTTTGGTGCTAACTTTTTTGAAAAACGATCACTTTAGTGCCAATGCTGACATGACTTGCCGAAAATCCTACGTGGTGCTGACATGGCTCGCTGGAAAGGTCCATGGCTCGCCGGAGAGGTCCAGTCAGCATTAAAAACCAAAAACGACGCCGTTTAGTCCGCTGACGTGTACTTTTTAGAAAAATAAAATTTAAATTATATTAAAATAATTAAAAAAAAAAACAAAAAAAAGGAAAATACCACCAAAAATCTCAAATTATGACATTTTTGATAATTTACCCTGAACTGTTTTTTACACGAAAAACCCCAAATTATGTCATTTGTGACAAGTTTACTCTGAACTTTTTTTTGTGATACTAAAAAGCCTAAATTATACTCATTGTGATACATTTACCTCACAACACTTTAACCCAAGGGTATTTTCGTCTTTTTCCTTTTTATGTTTTGTTTTTTCTTTCTTCTCTGGCGAGGGCAACCCTCGCCGACGTCGGCCGAGACTGCCCTCGCCGACGCCGGCGAGAGCGGCCCTCGCCCGACGCCGGCGAGGATCGCCCTCGCCTGGGTGGGCAAGGGCTTCCCTCGCCCTCGCCTGACTCAGGTGAGGGCTTCCCTCGCCGGCCCAGGAGAGGGCTGCCCTCGCCGAATCTGGTGAGGGCGACC